GCAGCCGCCCCAGCCGCAGCACTCTCTAGAGCTGCAGACCCCATCGTAGGTGCCACTGCTGCAACCCCAGAGACTACCCTGTGACTGGGGGACAGCCGCAAGGTCCAGGTACACCGTGCTGCAATCCGGGGATGGAACCCCCTTCAGAGACGGTACGAAGTGGCCCAGGGTGGAGGGATACCCTGTGTGTTGCGGGTGGACCTCTCACTGAGCTGGCAGTGCAGTTGCCACTTCCAACAGGGCCCTTGGTCGGAACCTGATGGAGTGCAGGGCCCGTGTCCCCCTACACTCACCCCAACTGGTGGTTGGCTCTCCAATAGCCAGGGAGAGCACACCTGCTACTCAGGCCTCTAGGCCACTGAACCCTTTGGACTAGGCCCGCGGGGCCGTATTTCCCGAGTAAGGGACATAGAACTTTTGGATTAGGCCCGTGAGACCGTATTTTCCTTGAGTAATGGACACTGAATTGTGAGGATGGTATTGTGGGGGGTCGGGCCCCATAGGGGGCACACCTTGTGACAGTCCTATTTTCAGGACAGGCAGCATGTGAGTAACCCTTCTCCCCTTCCCCTGGGCGCACAGCATTCAGAGCAGCATGTATGGCCCCTGCCTGGCTGAGGAACCTGCTGGGTAAGGCTGCTGATCTGGAGCCACCCAGATAAGAACCTTCCAGCCAGAGCCTGCCTCTGGCACGCCAGTCCCTCCCTGCCTTCCCCAGCCCTCTGCCCTCTCCTGTACTTCCTACTCCATATAACTCAAACCCTCTGCATCCTTGCTCCTATAGCCTCTTCCAGACTCTGCAACATCTCCTACACTGCTCTTCCACATCACAACCCCGTCCCAGACCTTGAACCCCAGTGCCATACTACTGGTCACAACCTAGATCTCTGCAACCCCTCCTGCACTCTTGCCCCAGCTCACAATACCATAGCAGACCCTTCATCCCCTTCTACAACGCTCCTCCAGGTCACAGCCTTCTCACAGACCCTGCACTTCCTCCTATGCCCCTGCTCTAGGTCAGAATACTCTCCTGCACCCATACCCCTTCCCAGAGCCTGCATTCCATCCTGCACACCTGTCAAGGCTGTTCCCCACTCTGGCATGACAAATGCAGAAATGGGGGCCCGCAAAAACACCCCAAAACCTGGTCTCTACAGGCTTTGGTATGAAAGCTTCCCCCCAAAATCCTAATACCCGGATTTTGGGGAATATCTGCTGCCACCACTCAAGTATTCCAAGAAAACCAGAGAAGAGATCATTTGCGAAACCTCCTCCCTAAAACCTCAGGGGTACCTCAAGCTCTTTTTCCCCAAAGAGCTTAAAAAAGAAAAGAGAAAAACAAGCCGCAGTCTGTGGTAGCTTACTCTTTAGCCAGCCAAACGGCCAGACCATACAGGTAAAACTAGGACACCAAAATGAAGCAATATCAGGTTAATTGGAAGAAAAAGAAAGTGTTATTATCAAAACAAAACCATAGTTGCAAGCACAAAAAAAAAGAGCCACCAATTAAAAAAACTCATGGGGAACACCCCCTCCTTGGGCTCAAAACTTAGTTACAAAAGAGAGAAAAACTACTTTTAATAGCACAGACATCATTTACACATTCCCAAACCAGAAAACAAATAAAACCTGATGGACTAGCTAAACTTTGCCATACTTACACATTGTGCGAAGACTTTTCTTGGAGAGAGATAGGCCTTCCCATCTCCCTGTTACTTGGAAGAAACTGCTCTGCCTCTGGCAAAGGAGGGGAAAAATAAAAATTCCTTTTTCCTGCCTGCATTGTTGTTGGCTGACCAGATACCTGGCTAGGGACAGGAGACACAGTTAACCCTTTAGTCACCAGGTTGCTGGTCAGCTCTCATGGTTAGGACAACACCAATCTCCTGCCCCAGGTCACAACCCCCTGCTTCACTGAAACTTCCTCCCAGATCCCATAACTCTGGTGTACCCCAATCCCTTACCCCAAGCTCCCTTCTGCACTCAACATCCATCCAAGACCCTGCACCTCCTCCATTAATATCATGGAAGAGTACTGCCCTTGACCACTTAAATTCTTGGAGTGGCCCCCCCCCATCAAAAATTAGTGCCCACCCCTGCAATAAACAAAAGCAGGCACAAGATAACACATATTTGTGATACAGTACTAAAATATGAAAAGAGTGTTGTAAATTAAGATTCTTTCTCCCACACACTCCTATAGTTAACTCTAAAATGACTTGGTCTAACAGTTTAAATGCAATAATTTGAGAATAGTTAATCCTATCAGAAGACGTATGCTATATGCAGAATTATGGTGTTGGGAGTAGTGAGCCATTTCAGACTGCTGATTAGTTGAAACATCCTTCCGTGCTTTAAGAAGTACTGGAATCATATTTAACTGATACCAAATATACTCCCAACATGTAACTGTTACCTATAGTCTTTTTAGTCTCCTATTTTTAATACTCAGAATTCATCTGTTCCATATATTTCATGAGCTGAGTGGCACATATCTGCCTGAAATGATAGATTTTAAAATTTTGAGTTCTTCTTTGAGGAGTGTCCTTGCGGGTGCTCCACTGTAGATGTCTTGGTGTTCCTGCACTTGTAATCAGAACTTTTTAGCAGCAGTATTCCCCCACCCCAGGTGCCAGTGCACACACACAGCACCGCTTGCGACACAGCGAATGTGCCAGCATGTGCACGCCCGCAACTGTCCCTCAGCTCCTTATCAACCGCTTCCAGCTTGGTTGGACCACAGCTGCTCTCTGTGCTCACTCTTAGGGCCAGCCTGAGCCATTTTGGCGCTCCGTGCCCAGGCGCGTGGCGCCGCCCCCGGGTGCACGGCGCATGCGCAGGCCCACCCATGGGGGGCAGGCCTGCCTCCCCCAGGGTGCGCAGGCCCGCCCCCGGGGCGCTCGGCACATGCGCAGGTCCACCCCAGGGCACACGGCACATGCACAGGCCGGGCACAGCCGCTGGCACGCAGCCTGGGGCCTGCCCCCGGGGCGCACGGCACATGAGCTGCCCGGCCTGGCCACCGCC